TTTTAATATAAAAATGTGAATCGCAATATCGCAACTCATTTTTTATATGATTTTAATAATATAAAAATTGTATTGCAATATTGCAGTGCACTTTTTTATAATTTATAATTACTTAAAATCAAATTTACAGCAAATTATACATATATAATTTAAACATATAGATCTCTTATAACCTTATTGGCTAGGACTTTTTAGGACCTGGTCCGCTTCTGGTCCAAAATTTGGACCTAAAGATCTGCAGACCAGGTCCTAGGACCAGGTCTTTAAGTCCAGGACCTAGGACTTTACCATCCCTAACTGCCTACCGTACAGTTACAGTCAAGCAGCTAAAATGTCTCCAGAGAAATTGAATGAGCTAAATGAGCGTAAGAAAAAGCATGAGAAAAAGTGTGAGGAAGAAAAAGATCGTGAGAAGGAGTTGTATAGTAAAGAATGTATTGCCCATTGTATCAACTTTGTTGTCGGTGAAGCAAGAGATGAAGTCGCTGACTTGAAAATTCATGATAGATTTTCCTGTTATTTAGCAACAATACTTGCAAGGGACAAAGAAGTAATTGCAGTGTGGTTGAACATTTTAAAAGATAACAGTGAAATTTACCTTTCTAAGAACTTTGATTGGCTCAACAAAGATGTGAAGTATATTGATGATATTACGAATTATCTGAAAGTTATATCGAAAAATGCTCCCATGAAATCAGCAGATACTGAAAAGGCTTTTATCTGGGCTGTGATGACATACTGCAATACTAAATTTGAGTTTAGATGGGATAAACTTAAGAATGATATTAAAAATGGCGATAATGAACACGTTAAATCTTTAAAAGATTATATTTCAGCAAATCTCGGTGATTCAGCAATTCCTTTCTACATATCCCGAGTTTGTTACGAGCATTATAAGCAAATTAAAGCTAAAGTTAATTCTAACATCTCCCCAAAATTTTTAGGCCATATTAAGAAAGTGGGATCTTATTATGGGTCTATTAAAGGTATCATAGCTTGTGCAATGAATATACAATATAAACCACTATTCTCTAACATTAAAGTGAATAAAGGAAGGCCTGTTATCATAGATGAACAGCCCATATATTCATGGAAAAATATTATCAAAAGGTTTATTGGTAAAGACGAAGACAAATATAATTGTTTCATGGCTAAGTGTTCAAAAAAGCCTAAAGTAATGGAAAGAATCTGTAAAGTATATACTGACAATGCCACAAAACAACTACAACTTAACAACGATAACGTTGAAAAATGTATATACTTACATGCAGAAATGCACATTTTGGCCTCCTTAATTATCGATAATGACATTAAAAAGAGGGTGTTTATAGCAGTGTCAAAGAGATGCTGTTACTTGTGCAAACTTTATATTAATTTTGCAATAAAACAAGGATATAACATCGTCATCTCCGGGAAACATGAGAAATTATATGATAGATGGATACTTCCGCATGTAAAGAATAGCGACTTCAAGGATAAATCCCTGATGTATATACTAGAAAATCTTGATCAAATCATAGAGAAAAAAATAGAACGCTATACCAGGAGTTTATTGGCGGATTCTGACAGTGGCGGAAAAAGTCCTAATTCATATGATTATGGTAATAATATAGATATAAAATTTATGGGATATAAGGAAGATTTAGATAATGGATGTAACAAATTGGATTTAAAATTTTAAAATTTAGAAAATAAACAATGTATGTAATTTTCATTTTGTGAGCTTATACTTTTTTTTATATAAAATATTATAATTAGGGAATATTAGATTTGTAGAGAAAAAAAGTGTAATTGCAGAAATGAGCATCAATAAAGCATAAAAGTTCAAAGCGAAATTATTTTTCTTGTAAATGAATGTAAAAAGTTAACTTAAAAGGATAATGAGTTTCCATACTATCTAATGCTACTTTTCGGCTATCTATTACTACGCTTTTATTTCTATTCATATGATATATAAAATTATATTAACGCAAGAGATGAAGTGATTTTGGATATACTCGTGGACAAAATATCTTGACCATTTCGGCCGATTAGTTTTTGTTTACAAGCACTCAATTGATCTATTTCATTTGAGGATTTTGATCGTTGATATATTTGGGATTGCAAAGGCAAATTTTCCATCTTATTTCTGTTCAAACAGATAAAAGAGTTTTATTAATCAAAGGTTTATATAGTTTGCAAATGGTCTATAGATCAATCTTTAATATTAATATGACCACATCACATAAATCTGATCAATGAGCACTTCCTAGCTTACAATAGTTCTGTCTGGTCTAATTTAAAAAAATAATTTACCTTTTTTTCTTTAAGGACCGACTTGGACTTTGGAATGACTTGGACGGCTTGGATTTTGAAAGGTAAGTGTAAATTTCTTTTTTCTTTTGTTTTGGAAACGTCATTAACGTTCCTTTTGCTTCTTTTCTTTAGGAAACACCTTTCCTGAACCTAGATTTCAGCTTGGACTATAAAGGTAAGTTGGGGAGGGTATTTTAATGTTTTTTTGTCTTTGGGAACATCATTAACGTTCCTTTTGTTTCTTTTTTTTAGGAAACACCCTTTCTGGACCTGGATCTTGGCTTGGGCTATAAAGATAAGTTGGAAAGGGTATTTTAGTTGTCTTTGAGAACGTTATTAATGTTCCTTTTTCTTCTTTTCTTTTAAGAAGCGTCCTCTTGGACTTGTTTTTCAGTTTTGGATTATAAAAGGTAAGTTAGAGTGGGGTTATTTCAGTTTCATTGGAACATTACTAACGTTCCTTTTCTTTTTTTCTTTAGGGAATGCCAACCTGAACCTAGATTTTGGCTTAGGCTATATATAAAAATTAGTTGAACTTTTGTTGTTTTGTCATTGAGAACGTCATTAACGTTCTTTCCTCTTTCTTACTTTAGGGGATGCCTGGATTTTGGCTTGAGTAAGTTAGGAGGCAGGGATTTTCATTTTTTTTGCCATTGGGAACATTATTAATGTTCCTTTTTCTTTTTTTCTTAGGGATGTTTTCCCAGACCTGGATTTTGGCTTGTATTTGAGTTGTAAGATGGGAAGGAGTATTTTTTTTATTTTTTTTTTATTTTTTTTTATTTTTATTTGGGAACTCTTGCCTTTTTTTTAAAAAAAAAAATTCTAAAATAACTGAGAATCTAACAGGTTGCCAGCTTACCAGCTTGCTGGTGAATTAAACACGAGACATGTTACATATATAATGATATATAACGTGTGTAAATGAACAGGATGGACATCCTTGCCGATCATTTGCCGATCATATAGTAATTTGGTGATATCAGACTTTAAGGCTTTGGGCGAAGCCACAGAAGTTCGGGTGAAACTAGAAACTTTTATGGGTTATAGATTAATAGCTTTAGAATTAATGGCCAAAGTAATACAGTAAAATTTTAGGTAACACAAAAGTTATGACCGAAATTATACTGGCAATCATATTGTTATAATTTATATAATAAATAGAAGTTTTTAAAATATTATTTCTCAATCAATTTTGTGTAAATATTTATGAACTTACAATCAAAATATTTGTCTTGATTTGACGAATTCAACAAGCCATAAAATATTAAATTCTGATCACTGGCTGCTGCAGTATCATCAAATTACTTTTAATTTTTCTAATTATATGATGTAATTTTGGCTAATTTTGACTATTTTGACCCTCAAGATGATCAATTCAAATTATTTTAGTTTTATGTATAACAGAAATTTGCAAAAAAACCCATAATAGTGATTTTATTATATGATAATATCGAATAGATAATTAATAAATGATTGGCAAAATGATCTGCAAAAATGTGATAATACGAGGATGTCTGCCCTGTTGTGTAAATGTGTAATTATAAAATACAGTAGTACAATACCTTCATTACTTACCCATATGGGCCAATTTGGCTCAATTCACTAATTAAATTTTAGTGATAATTATGAATTTTGATCGTCATGCTGCTCATAATAGTGATGATATCGTATAATGCACATGATGTTTTCGTATTTAAACCAATAATCGAAGGCTTAGCATTCGTTTGAAACTTGAAATCGCAAGTACGAAACAAGTTGCAAATTGGTTTTGAATTAGTTTTTTTAGAAAGGAACTGGTTTTTTTTAGAATTGGTAAGTGTTATTTTAAAAGAACAAAATATTGATAATTAGCAAAGCTTTTTGGTTTTAAAATACAAAAAAATAGCAGAAATAATTCAATTATATTAGAACAAAGTGAAAGTAATATACTTTCTTGTATATTTTTTTTTAACATTATAGAAAAATTCTAATAAAATTTTTTCATTAATAGATACTTTCTCTAGTCACATTTTTGTACATGACTATCCAAACAGTTTAAAAATAGAAGCACATTATCAGTCAAATGGAAAATTATATAATTCGTATTATAATATTATTTTGTTAGGAACATATCCTCCATCACCAAAATTTACTCAAAAATCCAGAAATAATGCGCCCCAATATTCAATTCCTAATGACTATATAGTTGAAATAGAAGTTTCTGGATGGACTCTTAGGATGTGCAGAATGGAGTGTTAATAATACAAAATCTTCCACAGCAGTTGCTAATACATTTTTACAGGTATGTACTAATTGATATTTATATTAACAAATGTAATAATTTATAAACACTACAATTGATTTTAATTTTATTTTAATTAGAAAATTGGCCAGAAACACTCAACTAAACTTTCTGAACCGCGATTATTTGGATTGGATATTGAGCCATTATATAATTTTCGTTTACAAATTGGATCTCTCCCTATTACTACTACTGCAACAAAAGTTAATGAACGAAAAAAACCACTTGAAGATATTACTTTACAATCACAGCAAAATAAACAAATCAATAGTTTTGAATGATGTTCAGAAAGCAGTTGATGAACTAATTATCAAACATAAATTAACAAATTCATTTGGACAACTAATTATGTATATGCATTATATAGAATTTGATTACAAAGAAAATCAAACTTATATTAAATTTGAAAATTCAAATTCCACAACTATACAAACAAGTCTTGATTCTATTATACGTGTATGTGATGAAGCATTTTTGGGACATAATGGATATCGACATTTGGCAGCAGTTGTGCCAATTCTTTTTCGTGAATATTTAGTTGCTAATCATTGAAATAAGATTAATGAACTTATAAATATTCAAATTCACATAGGGAATTTTAATATAGATAAGGAAATTAATAACCAATCTAGTATTGATGATGATGTTAATGAATATACTGGTGATATTTTAGTAGATGATCATGAAGTAGGAAATGGAGCTTTTCGTTCTCTTTTAACTTTACTTAAAGCATTAATACCTATTTGGAAAGCAGGAGAAAATCCTGTAATAATTCCAGAAAATACTCTTTATATTAAACTTGGTGGTGATGGTCGTAATGTTGGAAGAAAGCAAAATCATGTAATGATAACATTTTGCTTATTAAATGAAGGAAAAGAAGTTTTAAAACCAGATCATCAATATTGGTAATTATTATATCTTTTGTTAATGTTTGATAAATAATAATTATTTTAAATTATTTTAATTATTTTACATATAATTATTAGCATTTGCCTTTATGTAGGACGTGAAAAATATGAAGATTTAGCAAAAGTTGGACAATTATTTCAAAATCAATTATTTGATTTAAAAAATAATGGAATTATAAATCAAAATGGTATTCATTGGCCAACTGAATTATTTTTCTGTGGAGATTGGAAATTCATGTACATAATTATGGGTCAAAGTGCACCTAATTCCAAATATTTTTATTTATACTGTGATTGTGAAGAAACATCACGATGGGATATGAATAGAACATGGAATAATACAGTAAACACAAAATGTATGTTTATTTAAGATTGTTATACTATTATTATATTAATTTTATTAATTTTTATATAATATTAATTATTAGGTGAAAGAAAATCTCAATTATTTCCAGCAATTAACCAAGAGAATTATATACCAGATGAATTACATTTGCTTTTACATATATCAGATGTCTTAATGGAGTGTTTATTTGCTGATTTAATTAAAAAAAAAGATTTTTCAAAACAAATCAAATCAGCAATTGAATTGGCATTTAAAAACATTAAAGTTCATTTTGAATTTTTTCAATCCAAATCAACTGGAAAACAATGGAATTGGATTTCTCTAATGGGGCCAGATAAAAAGATAATGCTAGAAAAATTTCCAGTATCACAGTTTATTCCAGGTACTTGTGAAGAGGATATAGAAAAATTGTGGCAAGAATTTTATCATTTATATATGATTTTACATAAAGCACATCTTTCAGATCAAGAGATTGATCAATTTGAAATTGATGCTTAAAATTGGATTCGCATATTTTGCTGTCCAACTCAAGGTTGTATAAATAGTTCTATTCAAATTCCTGATTTATACAGAAAAGAAGATGTCACGCCTTATATGCATGTTTTTGCAAAACATGTACCTCAATTCTTGCATCAATTAAAAGAAAAAGGTCTCTCTTTGCAAATTCTTTCTACTTCAAGTATAGAAAAAAAAATTACAATCAGGTATAAAAAAATTATATTGTTTTTTTTTTTATTTGAAAATTTTAAAAATTTGTTTTTATTTTATTGCTACTTAATTTAGGTTTATTTATTTTTTGGAGGTACTACTATAGGTAGAGGAACTGATAGAAAATCAGTTGTATATAATATAATGTCTTTTGAGAACTGCCAATTATTTTATTTAATTAACAATACTTCTAAAAAAATTGTTACTAGAAACATTGATGTCAATAAAGAAAATTAAATTTATTAAAAATTAAAAAATTCTTAAGGATTCATTTGTTTTAGGTTTATTTCTAAAAATAAATGTAAAAAATTGTAAATTATAAACAACTTTAACGTTAAATAAATTTATTAAAATAATATACTCATTAACAAATTCTTCAGAATTAGTAATAAATGTACAAGTTGCAGTTCCATACTAAAATTTTGCGTGTTTTCATTTAATTCTAATAGTAAGGCAAAAGAAAGGAGGTATGGTGAGGTATAACTTTGTTATTGCAGCATTTATTTATTTATGTGTTAAAAGTTTATTTTTAAAAGAAAAATTTTAATGGCAAAGTGGATATTCATTACATTCATGAACAAAAATGTTCACATTCAGCATTATTACGAAATTCTATTAAACATGTTAATTAATAATATTCCTAATGAAATAACATGTAAAAACATTAATATTTATAATGGTGAAAATACAATCTAAATTATATTTTATGTACAAAACTTCTAATTTATAAATTATTTATTTCTAGAATTCTGGTTGAAATCCAAAAAAAAAAATTCTATTATAATATCTATAAATTATTTATTGATATCTTTGATTTAATTCTTGAAGGGAGGAGCGTGGTAAAATAAATCTATATTGCGATTGATTATTTGTTTTAGTAATAGTAGGTATTGCAGAGTGAGCAGAAGTGTGATTTTCATTTGTTACTTCATTTCTAAAAAAGAAAAAAAATCAAAATATTAATTCTTCAAAATTATAAAAGATTTGTATGCAGAATTCTGAACTTTACCCATTAATAAACTCTCCTAAATCCGTTGTAAATGTGCAGATAACTGTCTCACACTGAAAGATTCGGTTATTTTCAACTAATTCATTCAACTGAAAGAAACTTCATAAATTTCTTCACTATTTACAAATAGTATATATCCTGTTATTTTTGTTTTAGGATCTTGTTGGCAATTCCAGTATTCATAGTTTAAAATTTGCTTTAATCTACCTTCTCCTGCTTCACCTTTAAATGTACAGTGATATTTTCGTAGTGCCGAATTATACCTAAAAGAAGATTCATTTTGAAATAAATGAACAAATACATTCTTAGGAAAGACACTTATTGAGAGTTGTTTGGATCCTACAAAATGTCTATTGAAACCAAGACGTTTTTTAATTAAGACTATAAACGCATCTTGGTAAAATACAAGCTACTCAAAAGTAGGCTGGTAGAGTAAATAGAGATGAGATATAGTTTTATTATTTTTATGCTTAGTTCTTTCATGAATTAAAAGTTGTTTTCGTGAAGAAAAGGTTTTTTAGCAAAGGTAACATTTAAAGGACATGTTGGATACAGTAATGTATGATTGTGCTGCAGTGTGAATTTAGTTATTTAGTTGTGATTAGGTAAACAATAATTATATGACAATGTGATATGTATAATAGTTAAACTGGTAATGATCGACCATCGATCATTTTGTAGGTGATATAACTGATGTGAGCCAAATCAGCCCATATACTTTACTGTTTTATTTAAATAATAACTTTTTATTTGAATGCCTATCTAATTTGTTTTATTTGCTTAGATTGTCAAAAATATTTCTTCAGAATATTATAAGAAAATTAATCAATATAATACATGGAAAATTGAAGTAATTACTGCCCTAAATAAATTTTTAATGCCTATATTTTTATGAAATTTCAATAAATGAAGATAAAATAAATATGTTTACTTTATATTTTTAGTTTTATTTTATATTATATGTATGATAATTTTTTTAATTTGAGAGGTGTTCATATATACTTCCCGATAAAAAGTATCTGACCACCCTAAAAATTAAAAAATCATAAAAAATTCAGTGGGCCTAACAATAAATTTATATTTATTTTAAAAGGTTGAGACATAAGCCACTTTTTAAAAGTGTTTTTTTAGCTTAATTATTAGTAAAAATTGACAGAAATTTTTAATTTTAAAAATGGCAAAATTCTTAACTTTTTAATGAGAGCAGTTATGGCCAAATGAATACTAGAAATCAATTTTTTAACTAAAAAATAGCTTATGTTTAAAAAATCAGAAAGGTTGAACTGGTAGTTGTCAAAAAATCCACCACTAAAGATCATAATTTTTATATGAAAAAACAGTAAAATCACCATTTTTGCCAAATTTTAATGATCTACAGTAGTGGATTTTTTGACAACTACTAGTCCAACCTTTCTGATTTTTTAAACATAAGCTATTTTTTAGTTAAAGAATTGATTTCTAGCATTCATTTGGCTGTAACTGCTCTCATTAAAAATTAAGAATTTTGCCATTTTTAAAATTAAAAATTTCTGCCAATTTTTACTAATAATTAAGCTAAATAAACATTTTTAAAAAGTGTCTCATGTCTCAAACTTTTAAAATAAATATAAATTTATTGTTGGGCCCACTGAATTTTTTATGATTTTTTAATTTTTAGAATGATCAAATACTTTTTGCCAGGAAGTATATTTTTGATTGCTTACTGTAATTATTTTATTTTATTTATTTATTATATTTATTATATTTATTTTATTACATATTTTTATTTTTTATTTTATTATAAATAGTATTAGGATTTTACTTAGTTAAAGTCAGTTTTACAAATAGTTTTTAGATAGTTAAGAATTATATTGTAGTATTCAAATTATATTATTTCCAGTAGTATAATTCAAAATAGTTAATTTTGCAACTAAGAGATTATCTATATTTTTCATATTATCTAAAATCTTACTGCATTAGATTATCATCATTTAATGAAAATCGCCCTTTTTGCCCTAAATGATATTTTTGATGGATGGAATGGAATAACTTGCAATAAACTTTGTGATCTTTATTTAAAGTTCAGTAATATAGTATGTATCTAATGAGCTGAAAAGAATCATATACAGAAAATGATGTAAAAAATTTTGAGGTAATAATATTAACAATTAGTTGAATATTATTGGGAAAATTTAAATATTAATGAACTTTGCTAACAGGAATTAATTATTGATTGGACTATCAACTTTAAGAGAATATTCTCTTCATCATTATTAACAGAATGCAATTTTCCTAAACTGCATAATTGGAGGTATCACACAAGTAACCAGAACTTTAACTATTACAGGATCCCAGAATTTTCTAATACAGGTCATAAGTCACATTTTTGGGCAAACATGGCATAGCAGCCTTTATCTTTATTAATTATTTATCAAACTTTACAAAAGTCACATTTTTGGGCAAACATGGCATAGTAGCCTTTATCTTTATTAATTATTTATCAAACTTTACAAAATTACATATAGGAAAAAAGTCACATTTTTGGCGAATTGACCTATTTTTTAAGGGTTTAAAAAATCATTTTTTGTAAATATCTCAGCACTCAGTAGTCCAATTTTGATAAACTTTTTTTAAATTGTAGATCTGAATGAGGGCTACAATATAAAAAAAAGTTCATTAAAATTGAATCACTGCATGCTGAGATATTTACAAAAAACGATTTTTTGAGTTTTGGCAAAAAGTGGTGTTTTTGGCCAAAAGTCACTTATGACCTTTATATTAGTTTTCTGGGGTCCTACTATTACTGAAAGTTATAAATTATAATTTTATAATTAATATTAACTTTTATATTCTGTTATAGTTCTTACCATTTATAGGTATAGAGCATTGATTATCAACTAAAACCTATAAAACAGGATCCCAAATAATACTAATAGTATGACCTTTATTAGGATTAGGTAGAAGAATTTTATATTAAATAAATAAAAAAGTTATATAGTTTGATAAATCCAATATTTTGCAAACTTTGTAGCTTTTAAAAAATTTCCATTTCTTTTGACTTATTTACTTCAATTATATTAAAATATTTAAAAGTTGACATACTTGTTAGCAAAAAGAGAAATCTAATTTACTTTATCACCTAGCTACTAATTTTCGCCAGTTATAAACTTGGCGGACCAATTAGTAATACTTATATTATATTTATCAAAATTCTAATACTAAAAGTGATAATAATTACATATATAAATTTATATATGAATTTCATACTAATATAGAATTCTATAACATTTTTTCACAACAATTAAACCGGAATAAAAGCTGGAAATGAATCACATGCACGGAGTATAGAAAATTGTGGCGGTAAACAAAAATTAAAAATAGAATAAATAGAACAATTTTCTTATGAATTTGTTTATTTTATTATTTACACTAGTACAAAGTGTTATAACAATTACGATATTTTCGTTAAATTTTATTATTTAATTATTTTTAATTCCGAAATTTTTTTTTTTTTTAGTGATCCTTATCTTTGCTCCTTGGTAAAGAGAGGCATGTGAATAAATGGCGAAGGAGGCGAGATATGTGTTTGCCACAACCTTCCCAATTCGGATAAAAGTATTACGAGAGGGCGCTATTGAACTTTTACTCTGTTCGGAAATGATTTAATTTACAATCAAAAAAAAAAAGTTACTCCGAATATTTCGTTATTAGTAGTATATGTGTAAATATTTACAGAAATTTTTTTTTTTTATATTTATTTACCCAATAATAAATCGGAAAAATAAGATAAGGTTTCATTGACTTAACAGAATATAGATGCGATCATCATTGAAAAAAACTGTAATACCGTATATTATTAATATTTTAGAAGTTGAGTTCGACAAATAATTTATTTGAGAGAGATATTTTTGTTTACTGCGGATAAGCTGCTGTTATCAATTAAGAGGCTAAAAACAAAAAAAATAACTGTCCAAAAATTGATTATTTATTTACCCCTGACTTTTTTCTGGAAAAGAAAAATCTTAGAGATCAGACAATGCAAATATAAAAATATATATATAGATATATATACTCTTTACTTCTTATCTATCGTTAGCAATTCATAATTTTCGGCAAGGAGCGAATAAATTTTTAGTTAGTCATCACATATACAGATAGTGTAATATATTAAATTGGAATATAGTGCTTGAAACTATAATAAATAACTATTCCCTCACTAGTCAATTATCATATGAAGTGGGTTACCTTTTTTTTTTAATGTGCCGAACTAACGCCATTCGACATTCCGTAACAATGATTATATTGTCGTCCTTATCACTTTAAATTTTACCCAGTTAGCGAGCGAGGGATTATTCAATAATTCAACATATTCAGATTATTCAAATTTGTACTCGGTTTAATTTAGTCATATTGTGATATCATTGACGCAATTGACATTTGAAACACATATTTATAATCGTTTCACGTGATTTGGACATATTTAAAAAAAATGTCACTGCAAATATTAAATATTATTCTTCCAAAAAAGTGTTATTTCATAAGATTTTTTATGAATAGTGAATAGATTCGACTAAAGAATTCATTCATTGTTTAATTTCTTTGTTGACCAAGTTTATAAATAAAAATCGGTTATCAAATTGGAAGTTTAAGGAAGTACCTTTGTTCATATAAATTGTTATACCAGGATAGTATGTAAAATTACCAGAAAATCCGGAGATGATTTTCATTACCTTAAAAATAAAATTTCACTTTCTTTTAAATTTAGAACTTTAGCAATTCCATGTGGGAATTTATGTATCTAATGTTATACATTATACAACTATCACTTGTCGTTTAATTTTAAAATGTTTTAATGTAGCTACATCATACTATCAAAGGTTTGGAAAATGGCGCAGTAATGACGCAAAAAAAAACATATTACGCCACGCTATGTTCGGAGTTCTAATCGCGATTTGTAAATGAGGAATTTCGTCATAAGTATATAAATTTTCATAATTTTTATAATTTCTATTATGCATCCTCCGGTCTCAACGACCGAACTTTTTACTCGGATATAAATATTCAAATTAATTTAGATTTAAAAAAGTCCGTGCGGGTATTATTTTAGTATAGGTCCGGTTCACTAACTAGTTTATTTAAAATTAAAATAGCGTAATGAAATCTAAAAATATTTTTCCGCGATTCATGTGATCTGTTTGTTCTTTTCTCGATCTACTTTTGGTCCCACTAACATTCTTTTTATATTTTATGGATAACTAGTATTTAATGAGGCTCGGTTATTTATATTATATTAGTTTGATATTCAATTATATTAATTAATTATACAGAAAGAGGTCAAGTCTTTACATTTCCAACTTTGGAAGCTTGAGGACCCATATGTCAAGTCACATTATTCAATTAATCCATTACATTTTTTTATAATAAACTTATATATAAATAAATTCATTTTCATTTTATTTATACCTAAAAAAATTAGTTCTTTTTTTCTTTAGAATTTTTGTGTAGCATTAAACCAATTTTTGGGTGATGTTAAACAATATATCTTCCGTTTTAAAAAATTACTAATTAAATTACTTGCATGTGGGTCTTATATTACTATACAATCTATTTATTTATACAATTAGTTAATAAAAAAAAAAAAAATGCCGTGACTTTTCATTGACGTCAATTTAATAAAATCAACCACAATTTGCAAATTATTTTAGCCACCTTCAACAGGTGTTTCGGTTATTTTCAGAGGGAAACAAAGAACGCTTATTCCCTTTCGTTCTAGTTCTCAACAAACATAATTTTTTTTATTTAAAAATTATCTTCGACTCGTATGTTTTATGGAACTATAAGACAATTTTTTTTTTAAATTATATTATTTTCGATTAACTTTTACGATTACTTAAAAAAAAAAAAAAAATTTTACCTTTTCTTAAATATATTTCGTTTATTTTATTTTATTTTAATTATTTGGCAATCTGGCAAATTTCGTTTTTTAATTAATTATTTTTCGATATTTTTTACTTTTTTAAATTATTTACCGACAAAAAATTGGCAGAAAAAAAATCGTTTTTTTCTATTATTATTATAATTTTATCTATTACCAATAGGAACAAGAACGCTGGACGACTTCCTTTAACTAAATCTTGAAAAGCATTAATTATAATACTTTTCATCTCGGTTTAACTTATTATTTCCTGGTGAAAACCCAATTTTTCGTTTATTTATTTATATATATTTATATAATATATATATATATTTATATTATTTCGTAATATTTGAAGTTCGACCAGTTTTTCCTTGTATCTTTCTTATTTCGACTTTACATTTTCAATTTATAAAATTTAGAGAAAGCTGACCTTTACAATGTAAGTTTTATTTTAAAAGCAGATTGTGTCGTTACAAACAAAATTTTATATATTTTTATTTATTTATTTATTTATTTATTTTTTTTAGTCATAAGTCATAACTATAATGACAGAAGTTCTTCAACTTACACATGATAAGCCCTCGAGTACTGGGCTTATTGACAGAGATAGTGGATTTCAAGAAATGGACATAAAATTGATGGCTGATAAAATTGACAAAAAAACATTAATTGATAAAAAGTCATCCCAAATTATTGACAATGATAACTCAAAACAAAATAATAATGAGTCTGGTCCTTTGGATCCATGGGTTAATGATTCTAAAGATCAAGAAAATTACGAATCTATAAAATTCAATTCTATTGAAGATGATACTGAATTTATATTTGATCCCCTTGGAGATGAAAGAGCTATTATGTCAGATTCTTCTTTATCAGAAGAGGAGAAAAAAGAAAAAATTACTCGTATCTTTACGCGTGCTGCTAGCAATGGAAATTTAGAAAAAGTATCATCAATGTTGGAGAATTCAAAGGAATATATTGATCTTGATGCCCAAGATGAAGAAGGTACAACCCCATTAATCTATGCGTGTTGCTTTGCGCATGAAACTGTTGCATACACATTGTTGGAAGCTGGTGCTAAAGTTGATGCTAAAGATAGCAGTAAGTATTCAAATTCCGTTTAAAAAAAAAAGAAACTCGAAATGAAAAAAAAAATCACTTTTTTTTTTTCCTTTACTTTTCTGTATACAAAAGATTATGTGTATTGAATTTAATTAATTCATTCCGATTTTACCTTAAATTTTTTAGATGGTTGGACTCCATTAATATGGGCTGCAAATAATAGTCATGATGCGATTGTCAAGTTGCTTTTGGACCATGGAGCAGATGCTACAGCAAAAACTGCAAATCGTCGCACTGTCTTTGATTTTATGACTCCAGAACAAAATCCAAAAATTGTTGAAATTTTCAATCATAATCCTCAACGTGACAGTTGGTCAAGTACTGGTAGTATAGGACGTTGGTCATGGTGTGATCCTTCTGATAATAAATTGGAAGAGCAATTGGCTGAAGCTGAAATGAAAAAGAGAATGTTAATGGAAAGTGCCTATAATCTAGAAGTAGATATGGCAAGCCTTGGTTTGGATGAACCTGGAGTATGTGTTAAATTTGACGTCTTCTCCTTTTAAAAAAATTTTATGTATTAATATATTTAATATATTTTCTTTTCTTTGTAGAATGAAGAAGATGAAGAAGAGCCATTATCAGAATTTATGTGGAATATTTGCCTTCCAGATCAAATGTTCGTATTTTCACAAGAAGACATACCACATATTTTGAAAACTGTGATCTTGGGTATGCAGCCAATACGTTCAAAATTACAAAAACCTGTTCCTGCAAATATTATATTTTTGAGTGCTCGGTTCGCTCATTATTATAGTAGTTCTGAATTATTGGAGTCACTTTTATTTGCTGTCGTTGCTGCAATTGATCAATCGATCAAGGTATGTAAATTAACCATCAGTGTTTTTCAAGAATTTAACTTTTCTAATATTAAGTTGCTAATTTTTTTTTTCATTAGACACGACCAGAAGATATGACACTATTATCATTTTGGATCTCAAACTGCACATTATTATTGTACTACTTAAAAAAAGATCCCGGACTTGCTATTGCAACAATAGAATATCAATTGCGAATCTCTGAGCTTCTTCATGAAATATTTGTCCTTCTAGTTAAGGATGCCCAAAGACGTATTGATAAAATATTAGAAGTTTCTATGTTAGAATTTGATACAATTCCAGGATTGGATGATGTGAGATTTGAAGGTGAATGGCGTGTTTTCAAACATTTTTCACTAAGATCGAAGAGCCCCGTAAACAATTATAGCCCTGTTGCGAATTTACAATCATCGACATCTTTGAAGCGAAGTTCTTCAGGCAGCATATTAGCACCAATTTTCCGTGCACCTCCATCATCACCAAGACAAAGAAGCGCACCATCACCTCGCAATGTTACTTCCTTATTGTCTTCCACACTATTTGTTTTGCAAACCTATGAAATACATCCTATGATTATAGAACAAGTTATGTGTCAATTGTTCTATTTCATGTCATGCGAATTATTTAATAAAATACTTTCAAAGAAGAAATACTTGTGCCGATCAAAAGCGATGCAAATTCGCCTTAATGTTTCCGCCATTGAAGATTGGGTTCGCACAAATAATTTATCATTATCATTGATAAATCATTTCCAACCTTTAATTCAACTCTTACAATTATTAATGTGTTGGTCACAAATGACAGATTTCTCAATTTTGGTACAAACTACAAAAGAACTTAATCTTATTAATCCTGCTCAACTTAAGCGAGTTAGTAAAAATTATCGGTATGAAGTTAATGAAACAAGAATAACTGAAGAATGTCAACAATATATCTTACAATTGGAAGAAGATACTGAGCGACGGAAAAAACGGTATTCTACTGAAAGCATACGGAGTGACCGAAGTGATGCTTCAAGTATCATCTATCTCACAGTATCACCCACATTACCGCCTTGCGGTACAGGACCAGGTTGGGAGGATGATGATGACTTAATGGAAATGAAAGATAGTGAGATGTTATTACCATTCGCTATACCGACCAGTACTGAAATGTTAGCTAATTATGGTGGACAAGAGAAAGAAGGTGAATTTATACCTTTAGTACCTGATGAGTGGATGGAAAAATTAGATCTTGGAATGAGACGTGGTCCAAGTAGTGTTGTTGAAGAATTAACATCACAATGGGAAGCAGAATATAATGAAAATGAGGATTATGATGATGATGATTATGATATTACAATTGATTCTAATTTACAAAATTTACAAATTAGTGGTATAACAGGCTCTATCTAATGTTATATAATCTTGGGCATAAATTTAACTTGGTTAATTTGTAAAGTTTATTTTTTTTTGTATCATTGTCAAATAACTTTGTCACTTTTTTTTTTTAAAAAAAAAAAAAAAAAAAATAGAAGAATTCTTGTTTTTGTTTATCAAACATTGGTTTTATTTTTAAAAATTAAATATTATTTTTAAATTTACTTATTTTTTTATGGGTATAGTCTCTTTTGATATGTGAAATTATGTTGAAATAAGGGATATCTAGAGACTATTTGAATTTTCTTTTTTCTACGGTTAAATAGGTTTTTTTGCGAAAAAATGACAAAATAAAAAAGATTTTTCAATGTTCTTTTTCCACCAAAATAATATATAAAATACCTATTTTTTCTTTTCGTGTATAAACTTTTGTTACAAAAAAACATGCGACTGAAAAGCACGCCCATTCTACGATGGCGGGTTAGTAAATAAACGCATCCTTGAAAAAGTTGAGTTTGCTTTTTTTTTTTTAAAGTTCATAAATGGAACGCCTGTCAAGTGATATTCCGGTCTCCTTCTACAAGGAAAGGTCAGCAATTTGACACGCCCATTAGTGTGATTTTTTTTCAGGTTGTAGTACAAAATTTTATATTAAATTTATTAAAATTACGATAACTAAATTAAATATAATCTAAAAATCTACTATCTATTAATATTTCTCACAAATCTTTGCCTTTATTTTTAAATTTTTCTAAAGGATAGTTATTTGGATATTTCTCAATCAGTTGTTTCAATTTTTGTCTTTGAGCAATTATATTTGGTGTTGGATGGTCATAAACATCATTAAAAAGTTCAGTAATGGATGGTTTATGTAGTTTTTCTGCTTTAGAAAACGCGGTTAAAATTTCTTTTCTGATCGAAGATCGATATTCATTTTCAAAGTTTTCGTTCCACCAATTCTAAAAAATTGTTAATAAAATATTTCATAAAAATATAATATATAAAACAAGTAAAATTCTTTCACGCTTCTGTTAATACCTTATCTTCTAGCCATTTTCGAAGTCGTACAAGCGGATTATCAAGGCGTTTCCAATCTTCAACTTCTTTTTTAGGACGATATGCTGAAGAGTCATCTGAGGTACTGTGATGTCCAATTCTATATGTCAATGCTTCAATTAAAACTGGTCGATTTTCCTCAACTGCTAATTTTCGAGCAGCTTTAGTCACATTATATATGGCCCATACATCATTCCCATCGACACGTATCGTATCGATTCCATAACCAATCCCCCGGCTAGCAATACCATCACCTTTATATTGCTCAAGTGCCGGAGTAGAAATTGCAAAGCCATTGTTTCGACTATGCAACACAATGAAAATTTTTGAATATTAAAATAGATTGCCAAAATAATATCTTATAAAGGACATAAGAACTTTACCAGAAGAAAATAACTGGACATTTCATTGTAGCCGCGATATTTAGCGCAGCATGAAAGTCTCCTTCGCTAGCTGCGCCTTCACCAAAATAACACATTACACAATTTTTATTTCCTGCTCTTTTAAGAGCATAAGCAGCACCAGATGCTTGTGGGATTTGTGTTGCAAGCGGTGAAGAGATTGTTTGAAAATTTAATTTTTTGGATCCATAGTGTACTGGCATTTGTCTACCTTTGCCCAAATCATTTTCATTGCTATAGCATTGATTCATTAGTTCATCTAATGTGAATCCTCGATATAATAATGTTCCCGCTTCACGATATTGTCCAAATATCATGTCTTCATTGTCCAATCCAGCTGCACTACCAATACAAGCTTCTTCACCAAAATTTGTCATATAAAAGCTAATACGACCTTGTCTTTGAGCATCATAAAGAATTAAATCCAAAATATTTAACGTGATCATATCTTTATATATTTTTACGGCAAAATTTTCAGATACCTTTAGCAAAAATTACGTTAAATAATAATCTTTAAATATATATTCAAATTAAACTGTGAATTAAACCTGTGGATCCTGTGATGGATCAGTTATTTTCCCTTGCCTATCCATTACACGGTAAGTTGGTATAGGATCAATACTCTGAATAAACCGTATTTCATTGGTAAAATAACTTCCTGTGGCTCCTGGAAAAGAAACCTTTTCTTTGCTTTTATTTTTGATTGGTTCTTGGCATAATATACGGGAAGTTGATATAAATCTCTAGTAAATAAAATTGAATTCTCGATTTAAATTAAACTTTCGAGCGCCTTTTGAATTGCTCAAAATTCTTAAATTTGACTCACTCGACCATTTATCAAGAAATTGCTTGCTTGCTTAACATGTAATTTAGATATAGCTCTCAACGAAATGTTGACATTCATATTTAATAACTCCGATATAGACAATTTAGTCAAAAAATTACTTTTACTAGTCTTTCTTGTCTTTTTTTTTTGGTATTTACAATGAAAATAGACCAAAGAAAATATTATAAAGACAAGAAATTGCCTAGGAACTAAGCTTGGAACTATTTACCATAATAGAATACAGAAAGTTTTGGTTTAGATATTTCATTTTACGGCCGGAGCTTCACTAGTTTAGAATCATATCACCCCAAATAATTTTAATTTGTCGTTACACAAAGTTATCACCAGATTTTTTGTAGATCGGATAGATTTATCATTATAAAATAGCGTGTTTCTTTTTTGATAGGAAGCTTAGGAAGCTAGGAAGCTTCACTTCATAATAACTATGTATAAAATCGGATTATTTACTCGTTTTCCAAGTCGTTCTTCTTCAATTTCGCGTATTTCACCTATTATCTCTTTTAATGCTAAACAGTTCGTAAAACCAATTGTTTCTATTCAAGCTCGTAGATATGCCTCAGGAAAAACTAAAGAAGAGGAGACTTTAGCTCGTATTGAAATAATGCGTGCTCAAGCTCACCTTGGTGGAGGTCTTAAACGTATTGAAACTCAACATCAAAAAGTAATAATTCAATATTTTATTATTTTATAAACAAATTTCTTATTTGTTCTATGTACCTGTAATTGCAATTAGGGAAAATTGACTGCACGAGAACGTGCCGAATTGTTATTGGACCCAGGCTCTTTTAACGAATATGATACATTTGTTGAGCATCAATGTACAGATTTTGGTATGGATAAAAACAAAATTATAGGTGATGGTGTAGTAACAGGACATGGTACCATAAATGGTCGAAGAGTTTTTACATTTTCACAAGATTTTACAGCATTTGGTGGCAGTTTATCAAAAATGCACGCGCAAAAAATTTGTAAAATTATGGATAAAGCTATGTTAGTTGGTGCCCCCGTTATTGGATTGAATGATTCTGGTGGCGCCCGTATACAAGAAGGTGTAGATTCTCTTGCCGGTTATGCTGACATTTTTCAAAGGAATGTTTTATCTTCTGGTGTTGTACCTCAACTTTCTTTAATTATGGGTCCTTGTGCTGGTTTGTTTTAAATTCAATCTTTTTTTAAAAAAATAAAATAAACACGAATGTAGTTTGATGAGTTTTTTCTTTGATAGGTGGTGCTGTATATTCACCAGCTCTTACAGATTTCACTTTTATGGTTCGTGATACTTCTTATCTATTTGTTACTGGGCCTGAAGTTGTTAAGGCTGTTTGTAATGAAGACGTAACACAAGAAGAACTTGGTGGTGCAAACACACATACCGTCATATCTGGTAATTAATTTGCTATTATATTTAATTGATGAAATGCAACAACTTATTCTCCTTTTATCCAAGGTGTTGCACATGCTGCTTTTGAGAATGATATTGAGGCTATCCAAAGGTATTTTATAATTCGTTTATAATATTTCATCTTTACTAATTTTTCTGTCTTTAACATTTAAATAGAATTCGAGATTTTATGGATTTCTTACCATTATCAAATAGAGAGCAAGCACCAACACGTTATTCAGATGATCCAATAGACCGAGAAGATCCATCATTAAATCATATAATTCCAGTGGATTCAACAAAAGCATATGATATGAGAGAGATAATAACAAGATTAATAGATGATGGTCACTTTTTTGAAATAATGCCAGATTATGCAAAAAATATTGTGGTTGGATTTGCCAGAATGGGGGGTAAAACAGTATCAATAGTTGGTAATCAACCTTTAGTATCTTCAGGAGTATTAGACATTAATAGTAGTGTTAAAGCTGCTAGATTTGTGAGATTTTGTGATGCTTTTAATATACCTATTATTACTTTAGTTGATGTACCTGGTTTCTTGCCTGGTACTGCTCAAGAACATAATGGTATTATTAGACATGGAGCTAAATTACTTTATGCTTATGCTGAAGCTACTGTACCAAAAATTACTATCATTACAAGAAAAGCTTATGGTGGTGCATATGATGTTATGTCTAGTAAACATCTTCGTGGTGATGTAAGTAATTATCTTTATTCTTTTGGTTTATTATGTTAACTTTGATTTAAAAATTCTTTAGATGAATTATTCTTGGCCAACTGGTGAAATTGCTGTTATGGGTGCAAAAGGAGCTGTGGAAATTATTTTCCGTCATGTTGAAGACAGAACTCAATCTGAACATGAATATATTGGTAAGTTACGGTTTTGAATTAAAAAAAAAATGGATTTAAACTAATTTTTATTTTCAATTACCTTTGTGTCTAATAAACAGACAAGGTAAGAGTATCATTTAAATCAAATTATCTAAATTTGATTATCAAAATTATCAAATATTTTAACATTATTATCATTTTCGCATAGTTTGCTAATCCTATACCAGCAGCACAAAGAGGGTAAGTTGAATATTTATTCATTCTATTTTTAAACAAGTTTTAAAATTTGTTTTTAATGAAATTTAGATATATTGATGATATTATTTTACCTGCTGCGACAAGAAAAAGAATTATTGAAGATTTGTTTGTGTTGTCTCATAAGCAATTACCCTTGATTTACAAAAAACATGATAATTGTCCTCTTTAAATACTAATAATAAAATACATGTATATTCAAGTATAATATATGTATATATACATATACATATCTAATTTATCTATTTTACTTGCAATTTTTTTAAAAAATTTTTTTTTAATAAATGATAAATAAACTAAACACGCGTGTCACCTATTATATATCATGACCCGCGTTAGAAAAATTCTAAATATAAAAAATATTAATATATATAATAATTATGCTTAAATAAAATTATTTTGATGATGGTGAAATATTTGTAGTTTTGGTTGTATTAGATAAATCTTCTTTTGATGAATTATCATTAATTTCATTAATTTGTATATTGTTAACTGCTATTTCTAAATCATTTGAAGGACCTTGTAACCCTTCTAATGTTGATAATTTTCTAACATAATATTGAGCATCTGTCATTAACCTTTATTATTAATGGAAAAAAAAAATGTTAGTTTGAATATCTTAATGAGTAATTAATAATAAAAAAATGTCGAAATTGTACCTTTTTTTACCAGTTTCTGTAATAAATTTAATATTACCAATTTCTTCTGAAAGTTTTGAATTAGACGAATTAAATACTTCTGTCATTACATTCTAAAATAAATAAATATGATATTCATTAGTATAAAGTTTTTATTTTACATATAAATTTGTATTTAAAAAAAAAGTTCTCACTTGTAAAATTTCTGGTGGTAAATATTTATTTAATACTTTATGTAATGTTGTAGTTTCTTTTACTAATATTTCCATATATTGATTAGGACCCTTTCTTGTACTTTCTTCATTCCAGTCTATAGCCTTAATTATTTTAAAAAATACAATTAATTAATGATACACGAAATAATTAAATAAATATAAGTTTATGAAATGGTACCTGGAATGTTTTTAAATGAATTGCTAATCGTTCGCTCATGATAGATACCAATTTGCCATGTACTTCATTTTGGTGATTAATATAGTCCTACGATGATAATAAAAAATTAATATTTTGCCAAAAAAAAATTTTTTTTTTAATACAAAGTGAGAATACCCTTTTAATTCGATCGAATTCTGTCAGCATGACAGCTTGTTTAGCATTAAGACTATATCTTATACATTCACGAATGAATGGAATTAAAATAGTCATAAGTCCAAGTGATTGAGATGCAAGAGCTAATATTCAAAAAAATATATTTATAATATTTTAATAAAATTGATTTTTCTGCTCTTCCGTTTCCCTCCTTAGAAACAATTAAAGTATACCTAAATGTTTTGCAGTAATATTTTTTAACCCTGCAGATTTCATAGCGCCAGCTCCCAAAATAACTTGACAAGTTCGAGAATTGAATACATTTAAAATATCAACAATTCTATTCATAGTCTCAGTGGTTAAAGGAGGTACATTTGCTATGCATCTCAAATAATCTCCAATTAATTTAATTAATGTTAAACTACATCCAACCACGAAAAATCTTCTCTCTTCAACAAATATATATTTACTACTACCATTATTTATTTGACTAACAGGTGGGGTTTTAGTACCATTAGAAGTGTTATTAGTATTATTCTCACTGTCACCATTGCGCAATCCTGTCATAGGGAAAACTGGCGAAATTGGTGATGACGTAGAATCCGAAGGATCATCTTTGAATTCTGATAATCCCGACGTTGCTGCGTTAACTATTTTATCTATAATACGTTGATAATCAATTGGTACTTGTTCTTGCACCCATTGCTCATTTTCAACAAGTGTGGCTGCTTGTCTTGTTCTTTCCATATGAAAATGATTCAAGAAAGCTTTCGCCTATAAAATAAATCATGATTAAAACGCAAAGGAAAAAAATATAAACTAATTAACTTGAATGTTAAATTTACTTGTGACGTGATCGTCCCGCGCAAACCATAACACATTCGACCACATAACCCTTCGCATTCTAAAACAAATGCCGTAGTAACGTTAAATAATCTATAAAAGTCCTTCTGATTAAGTTGAGCATTTTGATCTGCTCTCACTGCAATTAAGTTAGCACAACGAACATGTGCTAAATCAGCTGCAGCATATACAATTTGTGCAGAATCTGACATTGACTGTGAATGACTATCAGAATCAGGCTTAGATTTCTTTGATTTTGTTTTGGTTAAAGGTGATGTTATAGTTGCTTCTTTTTCGGCCGGAGTAGATAATGTAGGTTTGTTTGTTAAAGAAGAAGTTTTTTGTATTATAGACTTAATCCCTGTTGTGATCTTAAGAGCACTAAACTTGGAATTTAATGAACTGGTGGAATTAAGAGAACTAGATGAACCACTTTTAGGATTTTCTTCTTTATCAAGCGAACTATTAGAATCCTTTCTAGACAAAGTAAGCCTATCAAGAGAACTATTTGAATCATTTTTAATTTTGGATTCTTTATCGAGAGAACTACTTGAATTGTTCTTTGATGTAACTGTAGTCTGTTCATCTTTAACACCAAATACATTCTCTAAAGTTTGATTGTCATCTTCATATAATGATTTTGTCTCTTCCTCTGAAATATTTGTGCCTTTTTGAATTTGATAACTAGATATTTCTACATCTCCTAATATTGTTGTGAAGAGTTCGTTATATATCGCAATTCTTTTCATTCCTTCAAGTAAAACAGAATATATAGATAAAAGCATATCTAGGAATGCATCAAAAGTCATTCCTTTTAAAAATTTTGACATTCTTGAACTAGAGAAAACAATTATATTAATAAATAAAACCGTATTTTTTTTTAAAAAAAAAATTGGGTATAGAGAAGTGCATCGTACCTCTGTTCCTTTGAAAAATCGCTTAATTGTTCTTCTCTTGAATCGGTAAGTGGCGTAGACGAGGGATGATGCTAAAATATATCGAATAATATTAATTGAGATTTTTTTTCTCTTTGATTTCTTTTTAAATTACCTTTTGAATTTGAATTAATTTTTTAATTTCTTCTAATATTCTTTCATGATATGCATGCAAAGCGGAAGCAAGACGATTCACTCTATATAACCCTAAAACAAGTGGAGTTATTCTTTTTTTCAAATTATCCTCCTTTTCTATTATTTCAGAATCAATAGTAACCCTTATAGATGTGGTATTGTGTTTCGTTGATTGAGGAATTTTGTAATTATAAAGTGATCGTATTATATCTGTCTTATTTACGTTTTCAACGTTTTCTTCAAAATCAAGAAATAACATATTTAATAAATCATTTTCCATCATTACTCCAATCGATTTATGCATTTCAGTAAGTTGGCCACTAAAATGCATAAGTGCTTTAACACCTCTTAAATCAATAGTTCCCGTCCTTTTAAATCCGTCGACTACATTACTTGATCGCCTTACCATTGTAGTTTTAGGATTTGTTATATCCGAATTTTTTGTTCCTTGTTCAATAATTTTTTCTTCCGATTGTATTTTTTGACTTTCATCACCATGTAATTTGTTATTTGCCTCATCTATTAAATCTAAAGCAGAAAAATAATCTCCCTGCCCCAGTAACACTTGTATCATCGGTTGAGTAGATCTGATTTCGGAAACCATTCTTAATCCTTCATAAAGTCTTCCCATATTTATTCGACGTCTTTTTAATCTAACAACTTCAAGTCCTTTTTTTGCTTGAGCATTATCTACTTCATCTAATTTTTCTCTTAAATTATTAATTTGCGAAATACATTCTAATGTTTCAGAATGTAAGGCTTGAAGATTTGATAAAGCGGCAAAAAATGATGATGATCTTAATGAAATTTCTTTAACTAAATGAACTTCAACCGTATCAAGATAGTGTGAAAGTTTTTCTTGTAAAATTGCGTTTGTTGAAATTGTAGGATTTTTAGGATTGCCCCCTATAATATCTGTTTGTTCACAAACAATATCAAAAGTTCGAGGATTTTCTAAATTAAACTCGGGATCAAAAAATATTGAAGGAACTGTCTCTAATAATGGAAGTTCTATGACAGGTTCTGGTGTTTGATCATCTCCCGGTGAAGGAAGAGGTAAATGAACTGTATAAGGGTTTCGTGTACTGGCAAGTCGATGAACTGGAATCTGATTTTCTGCCTCTTTAGAGGCTTGTAAATCCTCAAGATTGTTCGCCAATAAATTAGTTACGGATGCAACCGGAGATTCTGTTAAGGGTAATGTGGATTTTCTTGATTGTAATCCTTCAGCATCAAGTTCTTTATTATGACTGTACCTTTCAAATACAGGAGTAATCTGTTTTATATAACTACTAAAATCGGATGGTTTAACTTTCCTTATATTAACGTGAGGCACTGTTGGAATATCGTTCTTCGAAGGTCTTACACTGTTAGGTGATTTCGTGTTTGGGTTATTTAACACTCCAGAAATCGCTAACAATTATAATAATTTTTTATCAAATCAGACCATGAATTTTAAAATCGAATTACAAACCAATTTAAAATATCCCAACCCAATAAAATGAAAAATACCGTTGAAACCGATATCCTTTTTAGTAAAATAAATTTTTTTTTAGAAAAAAGAATAAAGAAATATTATATTAATGAAATACAAAAAAATTCTTGATTCAATTCTTTTCAGCTTCATAACTATATTAAAAAAAAAACATAAAATTATCATATAATAAGCATGATATTAAGAATCTCCGAAATTCTCTAAAACTCACAAATCGGTTAAAGAAATATCATGCAGATTAATATGAATCAATGAAATTACCTTGGTAGTCCAAGGAAGTGAAGTCTCTGACATTGTGCTAAAATTTGATATCGATGAATTCATTGAGACACGACGAGCAAGACCTCGACTATAACCCCTATTATAAAAAGACATTGCTGAAGAAACTCGTTGATTTTTAAGTGTAGTATTATAGTAATCGCTATTATCAAAGCTACGAGCCGAAGAGGAGGAGAAACGACGAGGAGTTTGTGGTGGTGTAGCATCCGAACCTTGAGTTTTTGAGGACTTCGGTGAGATAGAATCCGAACGTCCAGCTACTGAAGATTCAGCGCCTACAGTAGGCGATTTTGAATTCTCGCTTCTATCCATTTTTTAAGTTTACCACCCAAAAACTAATTTCAATTTATATTTATAAAAATCGTGGCTGATCTTGTTTCACAGCCACAACAGTGCGCGTAAAACCAGAAATTTGGTAAACCAATTTTTCCTACAAGATTTTCGCGTAAATGGTGTAGGTGTAGGTAGTTATGCTGAGATGCATGGTAAAAATTGGTGCCGAGACAAGAAATAATGTTCGGTATTTTTATATCAATTAATTTTATATGCTATGATACGTTGTGAAAATTTTATTTAAAAGTACACTAGACATTTAATAAATGGTATAAGCTGATGTTTTCAAGATTGAGAATATTCTCATCGATACTTCCATCAAAAAAGATCACGACCACAGATTACAGTAAATTTTGTGGAATTAAAATCCAATACATAATAAAAATGATAAAACAGAAAGTGTAATTGTGATTTTTTGGTGGCGCTAGGTTAAGATCAACAGAAAAATTTCCGCAAATCATATCATTTTAACAAAGATATAAAATTAGAATTACTCGCAAAACTAAAACCTTATTTCATTTTCATTTAGCATATCAACAATATTATAACTTTACTTAAAAAGATTATAAAGATTATCTAAAAAATATTTAATTTATTTTATATATATTAATATATATATACAAGAACAATTTGGGATAAATTTTAATAAAGAAATAATCCTAAAAATAGGTTTGGTAAAAGGGTATAAATTATGGTAATATATTTAATACAATTCTCACCCTCCATGATATGGCTATGGAAAGTGCTCCTGCAACTATTAGGCAAAATGTAAAACTACAGAAGTTTGTAATGGAATAAAAAGCGATCAACGCTTTCGTGAATCAATAGAATTCACTAAAAAATCCCAATGAAAACATTAAAAAGTATATACAAATAAAAAAATTTTGCTTTTAAAACTATATCCAAGATTCATCATAAGCACGTTGTTGAACGATAGTTAATTCAGGTTCTTCAGGTAATTCGCTCTCATTTTCAGGAGGAATTTCAAATTCCTTAAGTGGTTTAGGATTTATATCTTCAACGGTAGAATTCCTTTCAGTAATATTAGATAATAAAGTTGATTTTCTTAAAACATTAACTTCAAAAGATAAATCAGTATCATTCAAAGAAGATTCATTCATGGTAAATATAGTAGATTCTCTATATGTAAATTCGTCGTCGTTATCATGATCATCATTTTCGTAAATTTCTTCCGCTTCTTCCTCATATACGATTTCATGTTGTTGATTATATGTTTCGTTAACAGAAAAGTTTTGATCTTGATAATTTAAATTAGTTTCTTTTCCAGAATAAAATTCAGTATGCTTGTTTGTCTCTTCATTTGGGACTTTTCTCTGTTGAAAAGAATCATGGACTTCAAATGAAAGTTCAGCTTCAGTCATATAAACAGGAATTGATGATTCTTCTTCTACTTCTTCTTCATATTCTTCTTCAATACCAAAATTTTCCATAATAGGAGATAAAACATCAACACTAGGAGATTGAATAGCGCATTGTTCCTGCGGAGGATCATTAACTTCTTGTGGGGGATCATTAGGATCATTAACTTCTTCAGGAGCCTCATCCAAAGCAAGAGAAGATACAGGACTATAAGCAAGACTTGATCTATCATCATCAGCAATAAACGAAGAACTATTACTAGAAGCCGAAGAACGAGTAATAATTTTTGGAGCAGCATATTCCTTAAATTTTAATTTTTGATTATATATTCTAATATCACCACCCTTTGGAGTATGATTAATATTATCCAAAGAGCCAACTTTAGGTTTTACTTCGGGAAGTTGTAGTTTACTGTCAAATATTACTATATCACCACCCTTTCGAGTATGATTGATATTATCTAAAGAGCCAACACGAGATTTTACTTCGGTAAGTTGTAATTTACTATCAAATATTACTATATCACCACCCTTTGGAGTATAATTAATATTATCTAAAGAGCCAACACGAGATTTCGCATTGGAGAAATTTAATTTGTCATTAAATATTGTCTTATCACCACCTTTTGGAACATAGTCAATATTATCCAAAGAACCAACACGTGAATGCACATTTTTAAAATCGGGTTTGCTGGAAAAAATTTTAACATTACCACCTAATGATACATAATTAATAATTAGTTAGTAAAATGATTTTAGATCGAGAATAAGTATAAGATAAATTGTTTTTTTCATTTCACCTTTTATTTCGTGTTTAAAATTGTCAAATGAACCGACACGTGACTTCGCCTTTGAAAAATCTGTCTTTATGGAAAATATTTTGACTTCCCCTCCCTTTGGTGTATGATTTACATTTTCTAGTGAGGCTATACGCGATTTCACATTGGAAAAATCCTTTTTTTCTGAACATATTTTTACATCGCCACTTTTTGGCTTGTGTTTTATATTCTCCAATGAACCTACACGTGATCTTACATTAGAAAACTTTGCAGACTTGTTATCACCAGTACTATTGGAAGAATTATTACTGCTAGTTTGAGATGAAGTATCACTTATATCGGAAGTGTCTTGCGTCGTCGCTGTTGCAGAAGGGCTATTCACTATTCTCTTTGTTGTGGGAGAACTATTCACTATTCTTGTTGCTGCGGGAGGGTCATTCACTATTTTTGTTGCTGCGGGGGGACCATTCACTATTCTCTTTGCTGCGGGAGGGCCATTCACTATTTTTGTTGCTGCGGGAGGGCCATTCACTATTCTTGTTGCGACAGGTGGACCATTCACTGTTTTTGTTAATGCAGGGGGATTAGATATTTTTGTGGTTTGAGTTGTCTGAGTTATTTGAGTTATTTGTGTTGTCTGGGGTGAAGTAGTTCTATATGATGATGATGGTTTCTTTAATAGAGATTTTGATTGAGTTTTAAGCGCTTCTTGTTCTGTTGGTTGTGTTGGTTTCAGAGAAGGCGCAGTTTGTGAAGTTTTAGTAGTGGGGCGTGAAATAATGGAAGTTATGGAAGTTGGTTTACGAAGTTTCGTTGTAATATTTGGTTTAGTAGTTTCTTTTTCGGTTACTTTAAGTGACGGAGGCGCCGGTAATCTTGATTGAATAGCTGCCATTATATTTTCGAAACAGAAATTAGCTAATATTAATCCTCGAACAAATTTTCAAAAAGTATTTCTGACAAAAAAACTACATATATATATCAGATTTTATTTATATGTAGAATAGTATAAAGTAAAAAAAGTATTTATTTGATGCAAAATACTGCAATAAAAAGTTATGATGCATAAGATGCATGCATAAACAAGAAAAAAGCTTTTAAAAATTACAAAAGCCTTCGTTATAATATGTGGTAATTATAACATATAAAGGATTTTTTTTTTTGTTTTTTTCTTTCTTTTTTTTTTAAACCGACGTTTTGTTTCGTTTTGTTTGAAAAATAAAATAATTAATTATTTGAGGAAAAAAAAAAAAATAGTTTGAAAAAAAATGTGAAAAAAAGAATCAGTATATTTCTGTTTTGTGAGTGGCTGGCCTTTTTGAAAATATTTTCCCGAAATTGAAATTTTCTCAACCCCTGGTGAGTACTGATATGATGATATATTAATTTAAAATATAAATTTATGTTGTGTTACAAGAAAATTAGATTGAAGTTTGATTTTATTCCGTTTGTTCAACAATAAAATTCTTTAATTCTGTTGAAAGAATTTTAAAAAGGATGGAATTTTCGGAATTTTCCCTTTGTTTAAAACCAATTTTTCTTTTTATTTTATTTTATTTTATGAGTTGAGTTTTGAGATTGGTTTTTGATATATTAAAGATAATTTTTGATATTATAGTTTGCGGGGAAGAATTTAGTTTCAAAAAAAAAAAAATTGACAGCAAACAATGATATTTATATAATAAACACATCTAAGGAATTATTATTCATCGCATAATAGGCTAATTTTTTTTTATGCGAATTCTTATGAAATCAAATGGGTAAAATAAATATAATCAAAATTTTAATGCCGTAATTGTATAAGTAGCCTTGGAATTGTTTACCAATCTATTCCATAATTAGATATAATTAGATAAATTGCATTTAAGATATGCATTATCTTGTTGGACCTCCTTTTTTGTTTTCGTAACTTTAAAAATTTTTTTCATTTATGTTTCATATTTCCTAGAATTCTCCGAGCCAATCAGAACGATTTTCTATCCAGCCGGACCAACTAAGCAATGAGCTCCGATTTCCGAGATTTTCCGAAAATCTCTGTCGTTGGAACTAAGTTAATATGGAAATTGATAAAAAAAAACCTTTATTAATAAAAAATTTCGCGTTAAGAAATATTTTAAATCGTGTAAAATTTACAATGGATGAGATGAATAAATTAAATTAATTAATAAACTATTATATAAATAAAAAAATCAGTGATGTTATTATTTGATAAAACCATCCGTCCCATTCCGCCATTTTAAATTGTGGATTAAATAATAATTATTCTTTTTCTTGAAAAATATGATGTTTCTTTTCGTTAATATTATTCTCTAAACTTGCTTCCTCCATTTTTGTAACTATCCTTCCCATACTATCTATACCGCTACGTTTCTCTACCGTTTGTCCACGTGAACGCGGTAAATATTCTGGAAGTGTTGTAATAACATAATCCATCTATTAAATTAACCAAATTAACCGAAAGGGAGAAGGAAAAAAAAAAAAATGTCAAAAATTTATAATAAAAAAATTATATATACATGTATATATTAAAAAATTCATTTTACCAATTTTTCACAAACTTCATTTTTTAATTCATGAGCTAATTTAACATTCGAAGCTACAATAATAAAAGTTAAATAAGTAATGTAATTTCACAAGAAACAAACAAATAAAAAAAAACAATAATATATATATATATACCAGTCATAAAAGCTCTTAATTTTAAACAATCCTCTTTACATTCTTCAATAGATAAACTACCATTACGGTGATCCCAATTTTTAGATTTTTTTAAAATACTATTCATGAAATATTGTTTTAGATCTTCCAAGGGTACACCAAAATCGACAAAAAAATCAAAATAAATTCCTATATTCTCTTCAGTTTTTGTCCAATTTTCAAATGTACCATTAATAATACGAGATAAAGGAATTATGATACGTCGTTGATCATATGTTCTAACTACAATAAATTGAGCTTCAATTTCTTCTACAACACCTTGATAACCATCAATCACAATATAATCATCAAGCAAGAGAGGTTGTGTTAAAGCAATTTGTAAAGAAGCAATTAAATTTTCCATCGAAGGTTTAGCAGCAAAACCAACTAATAGTGCCGCTACGCTTGCACTTGCTAATATGCTCACTCCAATTTCCCATGCTCTGGGAAATGTTAAAAGAATTGCGGCCGCAGCTACCCAAAATATCATACCATAAATTATCCTTGTTGCAACTATTAATTGAGTATGTAATTTACGTGATTGTAAACTATTTGTCGATTTAATATAATCATTATTTTGTGATATCGCTACTGAAGCTGCTTTAGTGAATCCTACCGCTGACCATGATGTAAATATTATTAATAATATTTCAAATGCGTGTCTTATTGGGTCCATTATCGCTATATCTATATCTGGTATAAACGATAATGTTACTAATACTGATATTAATGGAAATATAAAAAATGATGGCAGTGCACTATTGAATGGAAGTTAAAAAAAAAATGAAAAATGAAAATTTCAATCACCAAAAGGTTAATTTAATTACAATAAAGTTTAAGATAATTACCAATGTTTTACTACTTCTTTATCAAATGCCCATCCCGTTTTCTTTGCAATTTGCTTGAGTATAAATGTGATAAATAAATGAACCAACATTGATCCAATCGCAATTCCTCCAATAATTACTAAAGGAATCGTTCTATTTCCATTAGAAAATGTTAATACATTAGTATTATTATTGGGTAATGATCCATTATATGTCTCGGGTGTGGCCATAGTTAAAAAGTATCGTTGACTTAAAAAGATAAGATCGTAAGATCGTATGAATTTATGATTTTCTTTTCTCCTATTTATATGTTCATTATACGTTGCACGAAAATAAATGAAATCTCCCAAATTTGTATTACCTAGGGGTGGGGGTATTACCATATACCAGGTTTTTTCTGTAACTCTAATACTTACAATATTTGTGGATAAAAAAAGAAAACATGAAACTGTAATACAAATTCTAACTATTAGTAGATAATTCACCCCAGCCTATAATTAAACTTTATCAAGATTATAAGGGTTTACGGTTATGAATATAAAAATTCTTTTTTCGTGAATCTTTTCCTTGTATTGATTAATTAATGTTTATCGTAACATTCTAAAAGAATTTATTAAAAATGGTCTCCTCAACGATGAACCCCTTTGATTTTTTAATTTTATTTTTTTTGTCTTTATTCTCCTGAATATATTTTTTAAAAAAATGTCTTTTTTAGATAGTTTAAAAAAGAAGATTCATCTTGATGATGATGATGAAGGAGGTAATTATATTCCAACTTGATTTAAACTTAAACAGGAAAGAAAATCATTATTAATATTTTCTTCTTAATATGTGTAGGTTCATTTACAGATAAATTTAAACAATTTGGTCATTCGGATGATGATGCTGGTAAGCAAATATTTTTTAAATATTTATCAAAAATTTTATTAATTAATTTTACGTGATATATATAACACACAATATAGCCTTAGTCCAAAATGCTGCTAAGAAAGCTCAACAAAATGTAGACGACGACGACGATGATGATGATGATGACGATCTCACAAATGCTCAGAATGCTCATAGAAAAGTTTATGATCATGTAATATAAATTAAACATAATTTTTTTTTTGTTTTTAATAAGAAAAAATATAATATATTTTTTATAATTGAAGGATGACGATGATGACGATGATGCAACATTAGGCAAAGCAGCGGCATTTGAAGCATTAAAAAAATATTATTCAGGCAAAAAAGATGAAAAAGATAAAAAGGAATTACAAAAGCATTTTGTGGCTATGGCAATGTCTGAAGGTTTAGAAATTTGGAAAAAGAAAAACTCTGAAAAAGGTGAAGCTGGTGAAGTTGCTGCCGGTAAAAAAGGTAAGATAATTAAGAAAATATAGATTTAAATTGATAAATCATTCTTTCATTTCCTAATTATAATAAATAATATATTTATAGAGAAAGTTATGGAACAAGCGGCAAAATCGGCTATAAAAATGTTAGCAAAGAGTGAAAAAAGTGAAAAAAAGACTGAAAGTAAAACGGAAAGTAAAACGGAAAGTAAAACTGAAAGTAAAACTGAGGAAAAAAGTAGTCATAGTAGTAAATTGACTGATTTTGCAAAGAAATTCTTTTGATTAATTGTTTTATTATTCAATAAATTATGAATTTTACTATTTACAAATTAATGTCGTTAAATTTCATTGAATTTATATAATAAAAATTTAAAATTTCTTATTGCTGATTCTTTTGTTGTGGAGCTTTAGCTTTCCTCCGATTCTTTTGTTCTTCCTTAAATTTAATTAATTTTTCTCTGTACTTTCGTTCTTGACGTTCTAAAATTTTAGATTTTGGAATAAATTTTGACTTTATAATTCTACGAATAGATTCTGGTGAAATTTTAAAATGTTTTGAGAGTTTTTCAGCATTATATTCTTCCGGTAACTACAATATTAAAAATTAATTAATACATAGTTTGATTCTTAAATATTAAGATTATAAAATTTTTTTTTTTTACCTGGTTATGTAACCAACGAATTTTATCCATAACTTCCCTATTAACTTTTTTGTGTGGTTTCCAATATTTAAATCCTATTCTTTCTTTCATAGCAAATCTATGTCTTAACCATCCAGGAAGATTTTCATTTTCACGCCAATTTGGATCATAATTTATAGTTTTATTATCATTAGATAACAAAGATGATGATATCTCTTCTGGATTTATTTTTTTTTTTCGAGTTAAAGGAGTATTTGTTAAAGATAAATTAGGATTACATTTTCTATTAATCATTTGAAGTAAAAAAGTTTTTTTGTTTAATCTTGAAGTTTGATGTAATCGAATCTGCCTAATTAAATCTCGTTTATATTTAACTTGTTTCTTTTCTTCAATTTTACAAAGCTCTGCTTTATGCTTTAGCATGAATGAAACGTTAAAAGTGATAATATATTTAAATAATAATAATAATAATAAAATAATAAATAGCCTCAAGTACCTTCTCGCTTTCTATTTTCTTAATCGACATATCTTTGTTATTAAATATTACTTTCAATTTAGAAATTTTTAATCCGGATTTCTCAACCTTTTGTTTATTAACCTTATTCTTTTCTACCGTATTTTGAACAACCTTTTTCATTTTTTTTTTCATTCTTTCTTCTTTTTCAGCTATTCTTCGAAGTGCATTAAGTGTACTATGTCGCCAAAAAATATTATGAGTTATTATTATACAAGTACATGGTTTAGATATAAATGAAGAACTAAAAGTATTTTGAGAAAAGGTTAATAGTAATCTACTATTATTAACATTAAAAACATTGCGCATGTTGAAAAAAGAAGCCATCTTGTTAGTATGAAATTTTTCAAAAATAGATTATCAGATTTTATTTAAAATTTTTGCATCTTACATAATTCCGGCTGGCGACTTAGTGCCGGCCCTGTAGGACAAAATCTTGTTATATAATGGAGAAGCGGGCCCTATAGTCCTATACGCGAAAGCGAAGCATGGTAGAAGAAGTGGCGCAGCAATCGGCAAGTGTAACGTCATATTCAGCAAACTAAAAAATTCGAAAGAATGTATAATAATGACTGATCAATTGAAATCATTTTACCTTCGAAAGGTTTTGCCATGTGTCTAGTTTCCTTTTTAGTATTTTAACCTCAGATTGGGTACGTATATATATATCTTGATATATACAATGTGTTTTTTTTTTACGCGTAGTTACCATAAATACTTTTGCTCTTTATTAACGAGTTCTGTTTAAAGTCATTTCGAAGTATAATAAATATTTCTTTCGAAAATTTTTCAAAGAAAAGGTGATCAGGGCTGTTTAATGTTATAAAAGTTGAAGTAAGCATTTAAAAATTCGCGTATAATATTAGAGAAAATTACACTATCTCTAAAAAAATTTTTTTATTTCTTTATAGGTTTATATAAAAGTCTACTCTACCTCTTCTTCGTAATGTCTTATTCTTCAAAGTATTTTCAAGCTCCGGAAAATCCTACAATGATTACAAAAACTCAAAATGACACTAATTCTAATGAAAATTCTTCACCCTATACCGAAGCAGATATTGCAAGGTTTAGAAGTGTAGAAAAATCACTCCTTAGCAAAAAAAATACTCATCGTAACACAAAAGCATACAATTCTGCTTTCAATTATAAAAATACTACTCGTACTCCTGTCCAGAGTATTTTATCCTTACAAAATAGTTCTTTTTCGCCTGCTCGGAAGAACACTACTTCTATTCAGCAGTCTTCTGTTCAGGCTTCTGCTCAGTCTTCCACTCAATCTTCCACTCAATCTTCCACTCAATCTTCTACTCAACCTTCCACTCAATCTTCCACTCAACCTTCCACTCAATCTTCCTCTAAATCTTTTCAGATAATTGAGAATATAGAAAAAAAACGAGAATCTTTGAAATCAGAAAAAAGCTTCAGCCCATACACGCAACAAAAAAGAAAAGGTGCAGGTTATGCTTTTGATGATTGGTCAGATGAGGATGATTGGCAACCTGAATCGAAAAAAAGATATTTGAAAAGTGTTGAAAAAAATCGAAGTGTCTTAAACGAAGTGAGTAACAAAGAAGCAGGTGTGTCAGGTAATGAGGAACTTTCTGAAGAACAGCAGCGCATCTTTAACTTAGTGGTATTAGACCGAGATAATATCTTCTTCACCGGGTCCGCTGGGACCGGAAAAAGTTTTTTACTTCAGAGGATAATTACATCATTAAAAGCTCGGTACGGTAGTGAAACAGTGGCAGTTACTGCAACCACCGGCATTGCTGCGGTAAACATAAGCGGTACTACGCTTCATTCTTTTGCAGGAGTGGGACTTGGGAAGGGATCTTCAACAGAACTTATCAAGCATGTTCAAAAATCTGTCGCTGCACGTAATAGATGGAAATCTATTGATACTTTGATTATTGACGAAATATCGATGTTGGATGCAGATTTATTTGACAAGTTGGAGGTTATAGCCAGAACGATTCGAAATAATAATCGTCCATTTGGTGGTATACAATTAGTTGTAACGGGAGATTTCTTCCAACTTCCACCTGTTGCAAAAAATAGCAAATTTTGTTTTGAGGCTTTAAAATGGAAAATTTGCCTTAAACATACTATTCAATTAACTAAAATTTATCGACAAAAGGATTCTGAACTCATTGAATTACTTAATGAAATGCGTTACGGTGAAGTTTCTGACAAGTCCTTGAAGCTTCTAGATCAGTTGTCAAATGAGCCCAACTATCCTAATGACGGGATTAGACCAACAGAATTATATCCGATTAATGATATGGTGAATAAAGCAAATGCTACGGAGTTAGGCAAAATTCCTCATAAATCATATATTTACTCTTCTACTGATTGGGAGCCACTCAGGGGTGGACAACTTCATAATCTTATTAAAAATTGTCTCGCACCGGAAAGATTAGAACTCAAACGCGATGCACAAGTGATGCTAATTAAGAATTTGTCTAGAGATCTCGTTAACGGAAGTCGAGGGGTCGTTGTCGGATTTCATGATAAAGAAGATGGATCAAGTTACTATAATGGAGATGATGAAGGATTGGATAGATTGAAGGGAAAAAAATTAAGTCCCATTGTAAGATTTACAAATTCACTCGAAATGGTTATGGAAGAAGCCGAATGGACGATAACAAGTCCTGGTGATGTCGTTCTTGCTAGTCGTAAACAAATTCCACTTGTTCTTGCATGGGCAATTAGTATTCATAAAAGTCAAGGGCAAACGTTAGAAAGAGTAAAAGTTGATCTTAGTAGGGTTTTTGAGAAGGGTCAAGCATATGTAGCCCTTTCCCGTGCTACATCAGTTCACTCTCTTCAAATTAATGGGTTTAGGAAAGATAAAGTTATGTGTCATGAGAAAGTAAAGAGGTTTTATGATTCCCTAACTACTATTTTTAGCATTTAATATACATTTATTATTGATGTATGAGATAAATGTCAGATGATAGGTTCATAATTAGTTTAAAAAGAAATTGTTATTTTTTAGAAATTAATAATCGGCTTTTTTTTAATTGATGTTAATAATTCCCAAACTCTTTTTTGAGTCTATTATTAAAAATTATTAAAATTTAATAAATAAAATTTTTTCCCGCAATAATTTCAAATCTACCGAATAATTATCCGAAAACATCATTTTACATCACGTGAATTATAAGCTTACGTGTATAGTGATTCACTACTAAATAGCCACAAAAATTATATAATTTAAGCATTTCTGTTTGTAACTACCTCGTTAAAGTTTATTTTGTTTTTTTCTTAAAAACTCAAAATGCCAGAAATAACTGTTAATGTTAAAAGTTCTAATGATCAAAAATATAGTATAACGATAGATACTTCAAAAACAGTTTTAGAATTCAAGAAGGCAATTGCTGAGAAATGTGATACCGCAGCAGAAAGACAGAGGTTGATATACGCTGGTAAGGTTTTGAAAGATAATGATACACTTGAAACTTATAAAATCGCAGAAGGTAACACTGTTCATATGGTGAAGGGAGCTGTACCAGCTGGTATGTTTTATTTTATTTTATTTTATTTTCTTGTTTTTTTTTTTTTTTTTTTTTATATTTTTCAATCAATTATATTAATCAAATTAATTTGATATTATGAACAATAAAAAAAATTGAAGGTACATCACAATCATCGCAACAAGAAACACGACCCCCAACTACACCAGCTACTACTACTACTCCACCAACCACACAATCTACTGTTCCTCCTGTGCAACCAAATCCATTGGAAGCATTTGGAGGATTAGGTGGATTAGGTGGATTGGGTGGATTGGGTGGATTAGGTGCTATGGGAGGAGGACTTAATAATCCATACGAAGGAAATACAAATACTGCACATGCATTTGAACAATTTCTTAACAATCCCGCAATGATGCAATACATATCGACATTGTTGCAAGATCCTCAATTTATGGAAAATATGGCCGCTTTGAATCCTCAAATCGCACAACTCGCACCAATGATGCAAGATCCAGAATTTCAAGCTCTCTTATCAAATCCTGAAGCTCTTAGAGGCATGGCATCACTTATGACACCAGGACCTTTTACTGGAGGTAATGCTTTTGGTGGATTTGGAGGGCAAACCACCAGACCTAATACTGCAACGACTACACAACCTTCTACAACCAATACAACCACCAATCAATCAGCCACAACAACAACAACAACAACGGGTACAACACCCAACAACACAGCCCCTAATTTAATTAATACAACTAATACAACACCACCATTTAATCCTCTTTTAAGTCTTCTTGCCGGTGCAGGTAATCCGAATTCTACACTTTGGGAAACTCCAGCTGCGCCACAGCAACCTCCTGAAGAAAGATTTCAAGTTCAACTTCAACAATTGAATGAGATGGGATTTTGGGATGCACAGAAAAATATTAGGGCATTATTGGCTTGCGGGGGAAATGTACAAGCTGCTATTGAATATCTATTGTCTGGTAATCTTTAACTGAATGGGAAAATAATATATATATATATATATATTTTTTTTTTTTTTAATATCATTGTCTTAATTTTTCATTGTAATAATTGATGCTTTTTTTTTTCGAGGTATTTAAATATATATATATATATAATTCTTAAATATATAAAATTTTCCAAAATATATTGTTTGTCAAAAATATATATATATGTATATTGATATATATTTTTTATTATTATTATTA